AGGGAAAGTAAAGAACAGGAGTGTTAACAAAAAAAGATTATTATTACAGGAGTAAGAACTTGAGTTTGTTTCTTGGTTTCATTTTTCATCTTTCTCACTTCTGAGCTGTTCTCCCATAATTCCAGGGATTTACCTTCTGTTTTACCTCATTGAATGTTTGCATGCTCAAATTATGTTTCCATGTACATTTATTATGGGAGATGTGTCTAAAACGCTATATCAGCTATTTCAGATCTTAGACTCCTAGGTAGTAAAATCTTTAGATTTGTGAAATGTAAATACATTCAAGAAGATTTCTTTCCTAAATTGCCCTTCCTTTTTTCAGTGTCTTTTTCTCATAGTTTTTGCTCAACATACTAACCAAATAATAAGAACATCAGTTATACAAACTTTGTTTTGTTTGGTTATTATTTTTATGTTCAACCTGTGTTCACATCCTTATGTTTATAAACCATGAATCAGGAAGTATAATTTAAAAGTTTGGTATTTCTCAGGAACATTTTATTCTACTTTTAAGGAGTAACTGTTATCTCATACTCCAAATGAATGTTATTGTTTTTTACATCTTCTCCCAAGTGGTACTGTAATTAGAAACTTTTTTCCCAATATATGCTTTCCAGCTTGTAAGATATAAAAATGTCTCGTGTAGGATTTAAAACATCAACATGATTCCAGCCAAAAGAAAATACTTGTATTCATTATTCTAATTCAAATCATCCTACTTCTGCTGTTTTTTTTTACTACTGTGGTTGGATGATGCACTTATGTGTTGTTAGGGTAAATGTTGACAGTGGTGGGGGGTGGAAACAGTACTTGGACGGTATTAAGCCAGTTGTCTACCCTTGCATGTATTTTTAGAAACTCAGTTTCTCCCAAGTCATTGAGAGAACAAGCAGAAGGTGAATGTTTGGGCCTAGACTTTTTCCTACAGTTCAAGGGTTATCAGACAAGTTTGAAAATAAATGAAGTGATACATAACATAGATTAGAAAATACTTGAAACTGAGTAAAAGTAAAAATACAACATATCAAAATTTGTAGGATGCAGCTTAAAGCAGGGCTTAGAGGGAAATTTGTAGCATTAAATGCTTATACTAGAAAGAAAGAGAGGTCTTCAATCAGTGAGCTAAGCTTTTCTTTAAGAAACTAGAAAAAGGAGCAAATTAAACTAGAGCAAACAGAAGGAAGGAAATAATAAAGACTAGATATCAATGAAAATATGAAAAGAAAATCAATACATAAAATCACTGAAACCAAAAGCAAGGTTTTTTTGTTTTGTTTTTTGAGATATAATTCACATATAACATTGTATTCATTTTTGGTATACAACATGATTTGGTATATGTATATATTGCAAAATGATCAGTACAGTAAGTTTAGTTAACATCCATCATCACACATAGGCAACATTGTTTTTCCTTGTGATGAGAACTTTTTACGATCTCTGACTTTTTAAGATTTCTCTTAGAAGCTTTCAGACATACAATACTGTATTGTTACTGTGATCACCATGCTGTACATTATACCCCTGGGACTTATTTATCTTATAACTGGAAGTTTATACCTTTTAACCACCTTCACCCATTTCATCCACCCCAATTTTTTATTGAAAAAAATTCAATAAAATTAATAAACCTCTATCCAGACAGACTGATTAAAAAAAAGAGAAGACACAAGTTACAAATACCATAAATGAAAGGGGGTGCATTATAAAAGACTCTACAGACAATTAAAAAGATAATAAGATAATACTGCTAATAACTCTTTGTCCATAAATTTGACAACCTAGGTGAAATGCACAAATTCTTTGAAAAATACGGTCTGGCAGAGTGCACTCAAAAAAAAAAAGAGAGAGAGAGATAGGCTGAATAGTTTTTGTAGTTAAAAACCTTCCAACATAGAAAACTCTAGGCCCAGATGGCTTCAACTGGTTAATTCTACCAAAAACTTAAAGAAGAAATAATACAAATTCTGTTAAAAACTTTTCCATAACATGGAGAGGAGGCTTCTCAGGTCTTGGTGAGGGCAGCATTACTCTGATAATAAAAACAGAAAAAGAAGTAAGAAGACTATAGGCCAGTATCCCTCATGAACACAGTTGCAGAAATTCTCAACAAAATGGTAACAAATCAAATCCAACAGCATGTAAAAAGGATCATAATGACCCTGTGGGTTTTATCCCAGGAAATTATACTGGTTCAGCTTTCAAAAATCAGCCATTATTATTGACCATATCCACAGACTAGAGATGAAAAATCATGTGATCTTTTCTGTAGTTTATAAAAACAGCCTTTGACAGAATTCAGTATCCATTCGTGATAAAAACTCCAGCAAAGCAGGACTAGAGGGGAACTTTATCAACCTGATAAAGTACAAAAACAAAAACAAAGCCCTTCAGTTAAGATCATAGTTAATGTGAAGAACTGAATGTTGTCCCCCTAAGATTGAAAACAAGGCAAGGATGTTCATTCTCACCAGTCTTATTCATTCTCATCCTGGATATCCTTACCGGTGCAATAAGGCAAGAGAAAAAAAATAAAGGACATACAAATTAGAAAGGAAAAAATAAAATATTGGCTACATTTTATAACTATAAGTGGAGTATAATCTTTAAAAATTGTGAATCACTATATTGTATACCTGTAACTTGCACAGTATTGTACAGAAACTATACTTCAATAAAAATTTTTTATAAAAATAAAACTGTGTTCACATACACCATGATTAACTGCATTGAAAAGTCTTGAAGAATCTACAGAAAAAAGCTACTAGAACTTAGTGAGTTTAACAAGGTTGTAAGTTATAGAGTTATTATACAAAAATCAATTACATTTTTGTGTGCTTGCACTAAACAGTTAGAGATTGAAATTTCACCAAAACGTGAAAAACTTGTGTGTAAGTCTTAAAATATGTGCATAGTCTATAGCTAAAAACTATAAAACAAGGACAAAAGAAATCAAAATCTAAATAAATGCAGAGATACACCATACTCATCAATTGGTTTATCGTTAAGATGTCATTCTCCCCCAGATGATATATAGATTTAGAGCAATTCTAACAAAATCCCAGTAGGATTTTTTTTATAGAAATTGACAAGGTGACCCTAAAATCTTATCTGGAAAGACAAATGAACTAGAATATGCATTTTTAAAAAGAAGGATAAAGTTGGAAGACATATACTACCTGATTTCCAGACCTACTGGAAAACTACAGAGTCAAGACAATGTGGTATTCGAGAAAAGATAGACTTGTAGAGCAGAATGGAGAGTACAGAGATAGACCCACAATTATGGTCAATTGGATTTTTGACAAAGCTGCAAAGAGAATTTAGTGAAGAAAGGATAGTCTTTTTCAATAAATCGTGCTGGAACAATTGGATATCCATATGTAAAGCAATGAACCATGATCTATACCTTGTACTCTATACAAAATTAACAAAATGGATTTTAGACCTACATGTAAAAAATCTAAGTGAGATAATAATCTGCCATCTGCAGCAGGCCATGTTAGTAAATTATGGCATGTGCTGTTTAGAGATGTAGCATTTGTAGATTGTCAGTTCTGGTTAAAGTAAATGATATTACTCTCTCCTGAAGTGATTGACTTTAGTTATTACAGGTCCATTTAACTAAGGCCTTTCATATAAAAGCTAGTGATGTGTTGGGCAGCTCAGGGAACAGTCATTTGTTTAATGGGACTCTGCCTCCCTATATGCAGAATGGAGAGGATATCAGTGAACTGCCTGACACTCGGTCAGTGGTGTAAGTTTAGAAACCAACAGAGTAATAGAATTGGGATGAATTTTAGAAATCATTGGTCCAACTCTTATTTTATAAAGAAACAGAGGCTTGCAAAGGGAAGGTAACTTTGTCAAACTTAGGTAAACTAGTTGTGGAACCAGAATTGGAATCCAGGTGTGTGTGTTTCTTGTTTAGGTATGCCCTACAGTGTTTGTGCTCTTTGGGAAAAGAGGGGCAATTAAATAACCAGGAAGTAATGTTTGTTTATGCCTATTGTGACTTAAGTAGGATTCAGACTGACATCATTTCTTTGCTACCTGGGAATGTGCTTTAATACTGATGCAGAATTCTTTTCTCTTACCTAAGATATATGGAGAAGAGATGGTGATATTATTGTATGAATGCCTACCAAGAGTGATAGAAAAATTATTTAGATAGCTAAAGTGATGCTAACTATATGATAGACCAAACTTGGTACCTGATCTTTTAGTGTTGACTGATAACAGTCAACCTGTGTTTTTTTTTTTTTTTTTTTTTTTTTTTTTTTTTTTATAAACCACAGTTTGTGTTGTATGTTAAGTTCCACAACTAGCTGGATGAACAATTTTAGTTGGAAACCTTGACTCTGAAATAATTTTGTTTGTCCATATTTTCTTTAGGGGCCCTGGTGAAAACAGATGAGCAGGAAGTAATCAACTTTTTACTGACAACAGAAATTATCCCTTTGTGTTTGCGCATTATGGAATCTGGAAGTGAACTTTCTAAAACGGTGTGTGTTTTTATCTTAATTAGATTCTATATTGTTGACTCTTGGGCTACTTCTTCATAGTTATCATTTTCTGCCTCTCTTCAGGTTTTTCGAAACTTTCATGAATGTTTTTTCGCTTTTAAATAAAAATTGTTATATAATGATGATTTTAAAACCCAGACCCGTCAGAAGAATATCATGTTAAAACACTAAATTTCTCCCTTTCATCTGAACCCACTTCTCACTACACAGGTGTATTATTCCAGACATTTTTTAATGCATAATCAAGTGTATATATACTTGAGCTTCTCCCTACTTCGCACTTTAACCATGGATGATAATGTGACTGCTATAAATTCTTAACCTCTATTTTCCCTCTCAGAACTCCATTGCCATAGCCCTGTTGTCTTCTGGTATTGAATGTTGTAGTGAAATCTTGGGTCAGCCTAATATTTTCCTTTCATTGGTGAACTTGCTTTTTCTGTGTGCTATCTATAAGCTTCTTTTATAATTTTTAAGTTCATTTGATAATTTTGTTTTTTCTTTTGGCTGCGCTGGGTCTTCGTTGCTGTGCGCAGGCTTTCTCTAATTGTGGCGAGCAGGGGCTACTCTTCGTTGCAGTGTGTGGGCTTCTCATTGTGGTGGCTTCTCATTGTGGAGCACGGGCTGTAGGTGTGCGAGCTTCAGTAGTTGTGGCACGTGGGCTCAGTAGTCATGGCTCATGGGCTCTAGAGCACAGGCTCAGTAGTTGTGGCACACAGGCTTAGTTGCCCCACGGCATGTGGGATCTTCCCAGACCAGGAATTGAACCTATGTCCCCTGCCTTGGCAGGCAGATTCTTAACCACTGGACCACCAGGGAAGTCCATCATTTGATAATCTTACATCAGATTTTTTTTCTGGAGGAGCCTACTCTTTGTGTCTCCTTTTTGGTTAATTTTATAGTTTTCCCTTTGATTTGTTTTGTCCTCTTGCTTCAGCAACATCAGTTATGCTGTATTGTCTATTTTTCAAATATATATTTTTCCCCCTCTACTTTCTTTCTTTAATTTCATACCGTGATTTTTCTCAAGGCTACTTTTCCATGTTGCTGACTATTTTTAGCAATATCTTACCTCTGCTTCCAAAGTGTGTCTAGTCACATTTTCTAGACTAGTCACTCTAATTTTTAATTCAGTAAATACTTATTGCTGAGTTGGACGTAAGCAGATGTAATGATTTAAATTTTTTTTGTTTTGAATACACAATACAAATAAAGTAAAAATTCAAATGCTACTACAAATGGGTATACAAACGAATGGAAGTCTCCTATCATATCCTCTCAGTTCTTCTCTCCAGTGGTAACCAGTATTACTACTTTCTTATAGAATCCTTCCAGAAATATTTTGTATACATATAGCAGTTTAATTTTGTATTAATTTTCTTCCTCTAGTCTCTGTCTCTCACTTCTCATGTCCTTTCAGCTCTTCTTTGAATTTTTTATCTTCTTGGAATTTTTTTAAATGTTTTTTAAAGTCCACATTCTCTTCAGTTTCCTTGAAAATGCAGATAAGTATTACTTGTTACCCCTGTGTAGGGTATGTCTATAGAAGTTTCCCTGTGGGCATCTTTTTATCCAAGATTGCCATTTGTTTAAAAATAATGGATGGAAAGAGAGATGTTATGAGCTGAAGTTGGCAGCTTTTAAGTCAAGTATTTTACGTCTGAATACTTTTCCACCCAGCCTGCCATCTAGGGTGTGTGTTAGGGAGGATTTAAACCTATGTCTTCAATTTTCTACTAACACACAAAGAATAAGTAACATGTGATCTATGTTCACGCTTTTCTTTCTTTCTTTTTTTAAAATAAATAAATATATTTATTTATTTATTTATTTATCTATTTTTTTATGGCTGCATTGAGTCTTCGTTGCTGTGCGCAGGCTTTCTCTAGTTGCAGTGAGCAGGGGCTACCCTTCGTTGCAGTGCATGGGCTTCTCATTGCAGTGGCTTCTCTTGCTGTGGAGCACAGGCTCTAAGTGCGCAGGCTTCAGTAGTTGTGGCTCGTGAGCTCTAGAGCGCAGGCTCAGTAGTTGTGTCTCCCAGACTTAGTTGCTCCGCAGCATGTGGGATTTTCCCGGACCAGGGCTCGAACCTGTGTCCCCTGCATTGGCAGGCAGATTCTTAACCACTGCATCACCAGGGAAGTCCCTATTCATGCTTTTCTTCTCTCATTTGTCCCTTAATTTTATTCCTTTTGTTAATTTCAGTGGCTTTCCGGGACCGGATTGGAATGGTTACAACTGTATCCTGTCATTTTTTATTCATAGTTGCCTATGAATAGGGTTTTTTCAAGGTGGCTTCTTATGGCTGGGACAGAAAAAGATTCATTTCTTCTTTAGTGACATTTCTTCCAGGAGCCCTCATCCTAATGATCCCTCCCCTATTTACATTCCTTGCCCATTACTAGAATTAATTCATCCTTGGTGTGTAGGTGTTCCCATCGATCTTTACGCTTCAAGTAGAATACTTCTCCTATCCTACGTTTTATGGTTTGTAGTCACTTCCTGGCAAGTCTTTCTTCTTTTGCTCCATGCAAGCAGACACCTCGTTGTGTTCACTTTTTATGTACAATGCTTAGTCAAACGCCTTGCCATAGTGACACCCAGTAAAGCAGAGGTTCTCAGTCAGAGCTGTGTGGCATGATCACCTGTGAAGTGTTTTTGTTTCTTTGGATTTTTTTTTTTTTTTTTTTTTTGCTGTACACGGGCCTCTCACTGTTGTGGCCTCTCCCGTTGTGGAGCACAGGCTCCGGACGCACA